AGCCAGTTTTGCTGATGGCTTTGATCCAGGGTCCGAACAATTGTCTTTGCTCACCTCTGCATGGAAACTTCCGCCCTCATATGTGCAGTCGCAACTATAAACCTCTGCTATGAAGTCTCGTGATGCCAGAATAAGGGAATCGGGACGCGGGATGCGGCTACCCTCCGCGTAACCGCCACCTACCAAACATCAACTAAGCACATGCTCTAGTTTGGCAGATCCCAAAGCAAACATACGCGGGACGCTCCAATCCGGTGACATTGGCCTCTTACCCCGCGGTCTGTTAGTGCAGTACCAACCAGTAGTTCTGACAACAAAGCAATATCTTGCAGTAGACCTGAACCTTTGTTCAATGCTTTTCAAGCCTTCGCCCCGCCACCGACCCTTCTCACCACCAGTCACTGTCTGCCATTGCCGTCAACACCACCACCATACACCCACATCAGACAGCAAAGCAAAAACTCAAGGCTGGCTCAATCGTATCACGATTTCTCACAGCGATCTGATTTTAGACCTTGGATCGTCGCGATTTTGTTGAAAAGTCATTGCGAACCCCGCTCGTGCAAGGTCGATTCAGGGCATCAGGGTCAACCCTCTACCAACTCATAGACATTCCCCTACGCACCAACTTGACGGCGACCGAAGCGCACGTTGTGAGTAGCGCATGAGCCAGGCAAGAGTAACTTGACGACACTTCGGTACCGACGGCCGGCGGTTAACATGGCTCGTTAGTGGCACAGATACTCACAAGACCGAGTGCTGACGAGCACAGACACATCCTTCCCTTCGGACCTACCTGTCCCTCAGGATGACGGTGCGTGTTCGCACTTGAGCGGGACACAGATACCTTCCGTATCCTTGTCCGCAACGTCAGGAGACTGGCTTGATGTCTCAATTTATCCGGGCCTGACAATCGTCTTCTGCTATCCGCGTACCGGTGCACCTGGTGAAACAATCACTGAAGATTGGAACTCCATACCAGGAGCACGAGGCTGCACACCTCAGGCGTGCAGCTTCCGCGACGAGATGGCCAAACTACGCGACCTCGGCGCACAGCGTGTATTTGGATTGTCGACTCAGGACACTGCCTACCAAAAAGAGGCCAAGGGCCGGCTGCATTTACCCTACGAACTGCTTTCGGACGAGAACCTACACTTTGCCAATGCCCTGAAACTACCCACTTTCAAATGGCAAGATAAGACACTGATCAAGAGATGCGCCCTCGCGATCGAAGACGCAGTCATCGTCAAAGTCTGGTACCCTGTTTTCCCTCCCGACAGCAGCGCGAAAGACGTAGTGGGATGGCTTGCAGGCAGAAAATAGTATATGCAGGTACCATTTCCGTGCCCCTGAAACGAGTTGGTACCACATTTGGATGCCCACCCGTGAACATCCTGACTCGGGCCCCTACGGTGCTTTTACGGCTGCCGAATCCGGCTATGTTGGTAGTAGACAGGGGAACTAACAGCAGTCATCGCAACGTACTCAATACTGGGCGCAACAGGAGCTGGGGGGTCAGTTTCTCTCGATTAGCACGACGGTATTTTCCGCCGTCGTGATATACCTTTATTGCTCACACACACACTGTCAACTGTCGCGGCAAAAGCAATGTTTGGGGACAAGGTTTGACGGGTGCGACGTTGGGTTGCGCACTAAGGATCGTCAAACCTCCAACCGAACGTGGATCGCCCGCACCGTGCGTGCATCGTCAATAAACTTTAGCTCCACGCTCTTCTGCCGGACCCTACAAGATATGGTCTAACCCGTGCCGCCCTGCATGGCGATGTTGTGTCGCAAGGACTCTGTCGATCGCGGATCTTCGTGACTTTGTGAGCACCTACTACTATCCTTCATACACACTACATTCGTTCTATATGCTTTCTTTTCGGAGAACTTGGTGTATCACATAAAGAAGCCTGCGCATCCTGACGAAGTGGCTGAGGCATCGGCGCGGCGTCGTTCACTCACTCCTTATCAGTATAACCAGCTCCAACACAGTCTTTAATAATAATGTCTACCACACTCATTACTACCCGCCGACGACCACAGAGCACTACATCGACCTCGTCGCGAAGAGCGCCGGCTACATCCACTTCTTCACAAAGAGCGACTGGTACTTCTACCAAACAACGGAAACCGAGCGCAACTTCTACATCATTACGCATTGCGTCGTCGTCACCAACCGCACTACCTAGCAACTTGGCATCAGACTTCTCCTTCATCCAACTTGGAACGGATGCTCCTGTTCCCAGTGTAACCAACTCACTCAATCAGCCAAGCCTCGTGGACACTTCCAAGGGACCCACCGAAACATGCTCTACAGATAGCGACTGCACAAGTGGCAAAGCGTGCTCGAGCGCAAGATGTGTTACCATGGGCGGTGCTGCGCCGCTTGGCGGGTCGGGCGCAGAGCCAACTTCGCGACTAACTCCAGGGTCGGCTATTGGCATCGGTGTAGGAGTTGTGGGAATGGTGGTGTTGATGATTGCAGCTGGTTACTGGTTCTGGAGGATTCGAGCAAGACGACCACGCACCCATACCATCGAAGCGCCTTCACACTCTCGCCAAAGGTCTGCCTCGAATGCCACAGATCAGAGGACCTTGGTAGCATCACTACCAAACAGTCCCCAGAACGCAGCCTTCAGTCAACAACAAACCATGGACCCTGGGCTATTTGCCAGGGCTCTTGCATTCAACGAGAAGAAGGAGAAACCAGACAACAAGAGGTCAGGATCTATGGAGAAGCACGCACGAAGCTCGACAGAAAAGGCACTGCCACCTCGTCCAACACCTCATCCGCTCATGGAACATCCTCTTCCTCCACCACCAACGAAAGCGAAGTCGTATGCTGTCAATGTCAACATCAACAAGAGCATGATACTCGATGATGAGTTGATCAATGCCGTCAGTTCGCTTCGGGGTAATGATACTCCTCGCAGTGGTACTCCCACCCGGGATCGTGCGCCGCGATACAAGTTTGAGGAATACATCCCGCCTACAGCCGCTCCTCCATCGATATCCATCTCGCATGCCACGCCTACCGCGGAAAAGCGAAACTCGGAATACGAACTTAGCCAATTACCGAACAAAAGACACTCTGCCGACAGTGTCTCGATGGCCGACGGCAGTTCGAACGGAGGTGATTCCGAACCACCCTCCCCCGTTAGAGAGACTCTTTCTAAACTGGAGAGCAAGCCCCCTCAACTTCCATTACCCGACTTGCCACCTCCAAGCCCGAGCTTCAGCTTTCGTTCCTACGACTGGTACCAGGATATTATAGGCGATCAACCAAATGGCGAGCCGAACACACCCACCGTTCCTTCGCGCAACCCTGCGCGAACACCAACAGAATCGACATTCCCTAAACCACTTTCTCTTTCTCCAAAGAAGGCGCCGTCCGCCATGCTACACTCGAGTCTTATTCCAGAACCACTTTCACCTGGTGCACCTCCTGCTGCATCAGGGTTGCTTTTACATCCAAGTTCAACGGTACTACCCAGTCCTACGAACCCGAACTTTCGTTTATCACCAACTGTTTATACCCCTCCGCGACAGCAGTCTCCTATACCACCAACAGCACCACGTCGAGCCTCCGCGCGGGAATCTACAATGACCACGGCAACCCGAGCTACGCACGACTCGCGAAGCTGGCTCCCGGACGATGGATTGTATCTTGCTGAAGAAGGTGACGAATACGCCGAATACAAGACTTTCCATCGACCTAGCGAGGACAGCAGGCCTACAAGCTACTCGCCCTTGACGTGAGCTACGGAAGCCACCTGCCCTACCATCATTCCAACTATGATGTTGGGTGCGCGCTGAGCTTTGTAGTCTTACCCATGCGGGCCGTGTACTGCCTGCACCCACATTCTTCATTCTCCACGGGCCGAGACCCTCAGGAAGGATCGCATTGCGCGCAGTGTAATACACCCGCCGCTCCACTTCTGTGTCCCGACTTTGGACCAACGAGAGCGTGCGCGGCAGCCCTGTACTCCGACGCACGGGAAGGAAGCACGCGGGAAAACGCTAGGACACGCGAGACCATGAACTGCATGCAGCTCCATGATGCAATGCGAGCAACGTGCAAATACTACGGATCATGCTGCAGAGCGGATGCAATGTCACAACGACGTCTAACATTCTTGTACTTTAATACCCTAACGTAATGTAAAACAAACAGTATCAATGAAATACCAAAATATCAATTTCATACCAGTATGGCTGTGTGTATAAGCTTTCTTCCTTCGTGACCAGCAACCGTGCTTGTGGGGAGATCTGCGTGCGACCCCACTGTCATGACATGTGGCTACAGAACGTTGAACCCGCCATATCGTGCCGTGCATGTACAAGTTTTGGCTCTACCGAGATACATTCCGTAGCGCGTCCACGATCTGTGCTCTTGTCAGCTTCAGAAGAGGACTGGGATGTTCACGTGGACCGAGGAAGCAAGAGCGCCGTGAAGGCGTTCGGAAATGCTTAGCAACTTTCCTCCGTCGGGTTGCACCTGCTGATTCGGTTCATGTCGAAGCAGGCACGATGGCTTCCGTGCCAAACATTGAAACTAAATGAGGATATCACCTCGACATCAACTTCCGACCCTCCAAACTTGACCATGATTCGTTTCTTTTCCTTTAGAGATCCGTTCTTTTCCTTCAGGATTGTCGCGCTGTACCGCATGCTGGGGTACATCCTACACTGGAAGTACCCACGGGTGAGTCGCTTCTGCCAGGCATTATGAGCTATCACAAGCTTCAAGCCACGAAGCTTAGGATCTAGAAGTCCGTCTTCTTCACGATCCCCACACATCGACGGAACTGCATGTCTCCGCAAGTTCCTATTCGCTCAATGTCGGCGCGCTCCCCCATGATCATCCCCCGCACGGAGCTCGCTTATGCATGGCGCATGCAGGCGCCCAGCCTCCTCGAGTCCAGTTCCTGTTGCTCAGCGTCATTGCAGGTTCCTTCACTGCGGGGAATCGCAGATTCACGCAGCAAACCAATATGGCGCCTAATGCAGTGGACAGCAATGCGGAAAGCTATAAAGGGACCAGGTCGCCATGGACTCCAAAGGATCTTCAGGCAGCACTCGACTGGTTCAGCACATCGATCATGTCGCGCTCAAGCTATCTTCAAGCTTCAACGCTGCTCTCTTCTTTCCTGTCGCTTACAGCTGGCCAGACACCTATCAGCTCGTCTGACGGCGGTTGGAGCACGACCCTGGCTGGCACCCCTACCTCATTCCGCCCTGTCTTTACTCTTCCTCCCTCAGTAGACCAAGGCGTTGAGCAGATCCCCAACATCTACGATCCCCAAGCTGTCGACGCACAGGATGTCTGCCCAGGCTACAAGGCGTCCGGTCTCGAACAGAACGACCGTGGCCTGAGCGCCACCTTGACGCTGGCTGGAGCACCTTGCAATGCTTACGGTACCGATATCGAGGAGCTAGACCTGAAGGTCGAATATCAGGCCAAGGGGCGACTGGCCGTTAGCATTATTCCTAAACATCTTGATGCTAGCAACCAGTCCCAATGGATTGTTCCCGAAGATCTTATCCCAAGGCCGCAATCCGAGGATTCATCGGAGGGCACAGACCTCAAATTTGATTGTAAGTCATTCCAACGAGGATATTGTTAGATTCCGAGGATTCCCAGCTAACGTGATTTCAAGGGGGCAACGAGCCATCTTTCTGGTTCAATGTCGGCCGTCGCTCTACTGGAGATGTCATCTTCACTACTCAGGGCTCGCACCTCATTTATGAGAACCAGTTTGTTGAGTTTGTGAACAGCCTGCCTGAAGACTACAACCTTTACGGTCTCGGAGAACGCATTCACGGCCTTCGCCTGAACAACAACTTCACCGCAACCATTTACGCTGCTGATGTTGGTGACCCAATCGACCGCAACCTTTACGGTAGCCACCCGTTCTACCTCGAAACCCGCTACTTCGAAAAGGGCGGCAATGGTAGCAGGACCCCTCTTAAACAGTCCGAGATGCAGCAGAGCAACTTTGGCTACGACAGCAAGCCAACTGGATCGAAGTACGAGTCTCTCTCTCATGGTGTATACTACCGTAACACTCACGGCATGGATGTTGTCATGAAGCCTGACCATCTCTCGTGGAGAACATTGGGAGGTGCGATCGACCTATTCTTCTACGACGGACCTTCTCAGCCTGAGGTGACCAAGGAGTACCAGAAGTCGGCGATTGGTCTGCCTGCGATGCAACAGTACTGGACCTTCGGTTTCCACCAGTGCCGATGGGGTTACCGCAATTGGACAGAGTTGAGAGAGGTTGTTGAAACTATGAGGGCTTTCAACATTCCTATGGGCAAGTTCCCTTCGCATTGTATCCCCTGAGCATGCTTGCTGACTATGAATAGAAACCATCTGGCTCGACATCGATTACATGGACCAATACCGAGACTTCACTCTTGATCCCGTGACTTTCTCCCCCTCCGGTGTCAAGGACTTCTTTGGCTGGCTGCACGGAAACAACCAGCACTTTGTACCCATTGTGGATGCAGCAATCTACATCCCGAACCCGCAGAACGCGAGTGACGCATACGACACTTACACTCGCGGAAACGAGTCTGGTGTCTTCCTGAAGAACCCCGATGGCAGCCAATACATTGGCGCTGTATGGCCTGGGTACACTGTCTTCCCCGACTGGCTATCTTCCAACGGTGTAGCCTGGTGGGTTAAGGAGATGGTTGAGTGGTACAAGGAAGTGCCGTTCAGCGGCTTCTGGGTTGACATGACTGAAGTCTCTTCATTCTGTGTCGGCTCCTGCGGAACTGGCAACGTTACCCTGAACCCTGTTCACCCACCTTTCTCTCTTCCTGGTGAGGTAGGCAACATTGTCTACGACTTCCCCGAAGGCTTCAACATCACCAACGCAACCGAGGCCGCTTCAGCCTCAGCCGGTGCCTCGAGCCAGGCCGCACTATCAGCAGAGCCCACGGCAGAGGTTTCTACGACTGCCAGCTACTACCGATCAGAGCCTACGCCCGGTTCGCGCAACGTCAACTACCCTCCATACGTCATCAACCATGTCCAGGGAGGAGCTGATCTTGCTGTTCACGCTGTCAGCCCTAACGCGACACACGAGAACGGTGTTGAAGAGTACGATGTCCACAACCTCTTTGGTCATCAAATCATCAATGCCACCTACCAGGGTCTTCTCGAGGTCTTCCCTGGCAAGCGACCCTTCATTATCGGACGCTCCACATTCGCTGGTAGCGGCAAGTGGGCTGGTCACTGGGGTGGTGACAATGCGTCCAAGTGGGCTTACATGTTCTTCTCCATTCCTCAGGCTCTATCCTTCTCGCTCTTCGGTATTCCCATGTTTGGTGTCGACACATGTGGGTTCAACGGAAATTCCGACATGGAGCTTTGCGCCCGCTGGATGCAACTCTCTGCTTTCTTCCCATTCTACCGCAACCACAACGTGCTCTCTGCCATTCCACAGGAGCCCTACGTCTGGGATGCCGTAGCCTCTGCATCTAGGACCGCCATGCACATTCGATACTCTCTGCTGCCCTACATGTACACTCTCTTCAACGACGCCCACACCACTGGTTCTACCGTGATGCGTGCGCTCGCATGGGAGTTCCCCAACGAGCCACAGCTCGCAGGCGTCGACACACAGTTCATGTTGGGACCCAACATCCTCATCACTCCCGTTCTTGAGCCTCAGGTTGACACCGTCAATGGTGTTTTCCCTGGTATCGTTGACGGCGAGAGCTGGTTCGACTGGTACTCTGGCGAGCGTGTCCAGGCTGAAGCTGGTGTCAACACTACCATCTCGGCTCCTCTGGGCCACATCCCCGTATACGTTCGCGGTGGCGCAGTACTGCCGACCCAAGAGCCTGGCTACACCACTACTGAGTCCCGGAAGAACCCTTGGGGTCTCATCGTTGCTCTGTCAACTGATGGTACCGCTTCTGGTAACCTGTACATTGACGATGGCGAGTCTCTTGAGCCGGAGTCGAGCCTGGATATTACGTTCGCTGCTATGAATGGACAACTCAAGGCTGAAGTTCAGGGCGAATTCAAGGACACCAACGCGCTTGCCAACGTCACTATCATGGGAGCTTCATCTTGTGGACAGGTCAAGCTGAACGGCGAGACGATCGATGCAAGCAACGTAGAGTACAACTCTACCAGCAGCGTCCTGAAGCTCACAGGTCTGAATGATTTGACCAGTGGAGGAGCTTGGCAAGGTAGCTGGACCCTGAGCTGGGAGTAAGCGATAAAGTTTCATAGAGGATGTATCATAGACTTTGGTATTATCAACCATAGAATGGTGAAGTGGCCCTAACGCTCGATTAGCGAGCTACTCCTAGACATGAATCTACTGCGTTTCAAAGCCAACCCCTGACCTCCATGTTTGACAAATCGATGCCTCCTCGGAGCGCGCTGTGCTCATGGTCTTTCAGGTTTTGCGACGAGCGGAGTCGTGAACAAATGACGTCATAACGGGAACTTGCACCTCCAAGGATACGACCAAAGCCCAAAGGAGTCTTTACGTACCACGCATCACCATGGCATTCTCTCTCACACGAAGAAAGTTCGTTTCGAACACCTCCTTCAGCAACAAACCTCCAATCGACTGAAAGAAGAAAGAGAAGCATTTCGTCATGCCACCCAAGAAGCTAAACCAACAAGCCCCGTCCTCAGTCCCCGACGTAGACGAGCTGAAGAGCATAGCCGCCAAATCCGACAGCCCAGAAGACAAACTCAAAGAAGCCGCCGCGAGCGCCGAGTCCGCCCTCGCCTCCGCCAAAACCGCCTCGTCGCTCCGTGCCGCCGCCGAAACCATCAAAGACCCTGAGAAACGGAACAAATACCTACAAGATGCCTACAACAAGGAGATTGAAGCGCATGGAAACTCGAAGAAGGCGCGCGTACTCAGTTCAGGCGCGTTCCAGGGTAGTGTAGGGGGTGGCGGTATTGGTATGGCTGTGGGAGCGGGACTGGGTACGGTGGTTGGTACGCTGGTGGGGACTGTTGCTACGATTCCTACGACGGCTGTGGGGACGTTGGTGGGAGCGGGCGTGGGTGGTGTACATGGGCCGTGGGTGAAGCTTGGGGGTGGGAAGAAGGATGGGAAGGATAAGGAGAAGGATGGTGAAGAGGGCGGCGAAGGGGAGGATGTTGAGGGGCAGATGCAAGACCAGATGGGTGGGGAGGAGGATGGTATACCAGATCCTGAGGCGCTGAGACGTGCAGCAGATGAGTTTGCGCAGCAGCGGAAGGCGAACCAGGAGAATGGTGGTGGTGATGCGGAGAAGAAGAAGAAGAAGAAGCCTAGGAAACTGGAGGTACGGGGCAAACAAGGTGCATGAAGAAGGGTAGTAGGACATTTGGTTTTCAAACACCGCACTGAGCTCATGGTTTTGTTTAGTGGATGCATTGTTTGGCGCCAGCATCATATAAGCATTGGGATTATGGCATAGTATACACAGGTTTGACGAAATACTTCTCCTCAACACTTCTCAATCTGAAAGTCGGGACGAAGCCATGTCCTTTCATCGATGAACAACAACTCCAGCCCCCTCACCCATACCCCGTACCTTACCCTCAACGACACGTTCGGGTAATCCCAATTCCGTACATATCTCATCGAAACAGTGCATGCCATCCAGGAATCTCAATAGAGGAAGCCCGCTCCCGCTCTTGTCTCTATCGCTCACCAAGCCCTCGAGGGTTTGGTGTTCTTCACCCTTCGAAACACTGAGATGTTGGGGGTTCTGTTGTTGAAGATGATTGTGGTTTGCAGGCATCGCGGAGGCAACGCTCGGTCTGTGAATCGAGAAGGATGGATGATGTGTGTGGATATTGGCTTGGGAAGTGTGGTGACCGTGGGTCTGGATACTTGGTTGGGAAGAATGGTGTACTCGTTCGTTACCGCGAATTGTGGTGGTGTCTGAATCGCGGGGGTTTGCGAGAGATGTCGCGGCACTTGTTTGCAGACTCGTTGGTGGTGCTGGTGGTAGGGTCGTTGAGGTCGCTATCGCGTACTTGTGCACACGGTAGAGGAAACCTTTGATGATGCCGAAGGTAATGAAGCGGCGTACATCGATGCCAGTGAGAAGATCCAGATTCTCCAGCACCCAGTTCTTCAAAGTGAGACCTTGTCGCAGCGATGTGTATAGCGTTATCAACGTCTCATGGCTCGTCTGCCATACATTCTCTTCCTCCTCTTCCTTCTTTTGAGCGGCGATGTGGCTATCGAACTCTGAGACCCTAAGCGTAGATCCGACAGTCTCGCTTTGCTGTGATGACAAAGACGAGGTCGAACTACGCTCGTCCCTACTCTTCTCTGAGACTTCGCTATCCATCCGAGCTGTCTTTGCGTTCGATCCAAGTCTCATTCTCGGTACGCTGACGTAGCGCATACATTCCTCTTTAACCTCTGCATCCATTATGAAATCACCAATCTCTGCTGTTGGCGCATATATGGCGCTGAAGCTGAAGATATCCAGTAGTATTAAACATCCATAATATACCAAATGTTGAATGGCTCGTCTTGTCAACGAGAGATCGGTATCAGCCAGTTGCGCGATATGGGCTATCGAGTTGATACCGTTTATGTATGGAAGTATGCGATTGAGGGTGAGGTCCGAGGATACGGGTTGCTGGAGACTTGACAGAGATATGGTGAGCAGGGGCACTTGATGCGCGAGGATAGGCGGAGGAGGCGGTCGCGTAGGGAACAGCTTCAGGTTGATCGTATTCGAGTCATCTGGTAGCTGGTTAGTATGTCGCAAACTATAGTCTGGTACGAAGCATGACTTACCGATTGGTATCATACACTCTGCATAGTTATTCAGATCCTCAAGCACCATCTCACACAGCGCATACACCTTGCTTCCGCCACCTATTCCAAATCCGCCGACGCCATCGTCGTGCCCAAACCCGACATTTCCTCCTTCATCTTCCCAAACGCCCTCCTCTTCTCTGGACAAGAATCCGCCCTGCTCTTCTAGGCCTCTCAACAAGCGTCCTAGCTTCCTCACGACTTCGCCGTAGCACGCCCAGTCGCGCTCATTTTCGCCTATCACAATTGCGAAGTTGAAGATGAATTCATTTCTACTGTATTTCCCTTCTCTTATGCAAACAGGGTATCCGATGACGCGATTGTGGTTGATGCAAAAAGTGAGTAGGCGGTCGCAGAATTGTTGCGTGGGTATGAGGAATTGCGTGACCGAAGGGAAGGTGAATAGCGGTGTGGGGAGCGCCGATGGGAGGTTGGAGGGTATTATGGCGCCGGCGGGTACCTGGTGGAGGACGCGATTCCCTGGAGGACATGTTAGCGGGGTTTCTGAAGGCGCGGCTCTCTTCGGATTACCTTTCTCATGGTGGAAGCGAGTATAAAATATGGCTTTAATCGCGCGCGTAGGCATCGAAATGTGTAGGCTCTACCGCCAAAGTTTGCTGGCGACTACATGGTGAGTGTAGAGTCCTGGAGTCGCGATGTGGGGAGCTTGAGAGAGCTTCCAGGGTTCCGAGGTATGGTCTGTGCGCCACCTCACGCATCCAGGTTATGAGATTTCCAAAGAAAGGATGGAGTGCACCTTTCACTCCGAAGCCACTAGTCTAGCTACAAACAAACCCACTTAATCAGCATGGTCAAGCTTATCTATAGCCCAAAGCATCATTTGTGGCCTCTTCCAAACAAACGCCTTACATGTAGCGTCACCCGTTCACCAAAGATCCTCGAATCACCGTTTCCGACCTTACTTTGCACACCTTCGCTTTGTCCCTTAATGAACAATCTCTTTAACTCGACGACATCAAGCTTCAGCTGGGCCAGTATCCCCGCCGAGGATTGTCCAGTTATAGCTGTTGCTTCAGGATACCCAAGGCGCGCCTCCATGTTCTCAATAGCTTGAGCATCGCCGGTCAAGAATTCATCAAAATACTCTTGGATGATGATCAAACCAGTTTTCCGGCCTTGTCCGGTCTCAACGCATGCGTTCGTGTTCGCTCCATGTAGTAATAGGATTCTCAGCATGGTTACCCATTTGACGGAATTGTTCATCCCCATACGCAGACAGTTTTCCCACGCACTAAACCCGTTGAACTTGACATTCGGATCAGCGCCATGCAGCAAGAGAGTCTGTATGAGATTGGGGTCAACCATTTCTGACCAGTCTCCGTAAGTCGTATCAAGTCTGCAAGTGTAATCGAGTAACGGTCTGCCAAGTTTGTTCAAACAACTTTGACCTTTGGCGCGAATGGTGTCCTGAACGTATAATGTCAAACCAAATTTGACGGTCAAGGACATGAAGTTATCATGGCAGGGAGCAGTCCTGCCATCCCCCTCATTCCATGTGTCGCACCAAGTCGCGTTCTTGTACTCTCCCTCTTTCCATCTTCCCGTGACATCTGGGAAGTAAGTCGTCATTACTCTGTCAAGCTCATCGAGCAGTTTCCGAGAGCTTGTCTTGGTCTTCGCCTCTGCAAGTCGTGCGAATAGCAGAGTCTCAATCACAAGTTGCCAGGGAATCGTGTAATCGCCGGGACGTTGCTGTCCAAATCTGACCACCTTGACTTCCATGACCAATGATTGTAACACAGCCAGATAGGGGTTGAATTTCAGTCCCTCGGAGTGGCTTACCAAATGGTCCCAGACCTCTCTTTTATGCAAGAAATCTGCGACAGTTCTGTGAAGATACACAACGTCCTTCCATCTCCGTTTTCCCAATTCGCCTGTTTTGTCCCAACGCATGTACTCTCGATCGGGCATGACTCGCGTTCGGAGCTCTAGGAGTCCTGCGCAACGGCTTCGAAGTCGACGCTCTGTAGTAATCTCTATGTTTCTGAGCTCTTCTTCCGACAAGGGAGAGACGTCTGCGCTTATGACATCCTCGATCACAGCTTCTGCATGGAACAATCTGACGGCGGTTAGTGGCCTTGTTCCACCTCGCACCGAAACTGGCTGCTGGTGGCCTTGATTGTTGCATCGGAGGATTTGAAATATACATGCCGCTTGCGGCTTGTACAAAAGAGGCACATTATCCAACATGTGGGTGAAGAGCGCCTCAAGATCTTGCGGTAAAGCCCAGAGTCGTAATTGAAGATCTTCGATCTTGTCACCATTCTGCAACCCTTGAAGGAGTGACCTGACCACAAGTTTGACCCATAAGAAAACCCCCGAGGCTGCAGTGACAATCTCTTGCACAAGGGCTTTGGTCTCGTCTTTGTAAGTGGCTTTCAAATACACCATCTGAGAGTGTACGGATAAAGTGTCATACACATACGTGGTGATATCGTTGTGAGTAAGCTGCTGGAGCTGTAGCTGTGGCCGACCAGCAAAACAATCCATGAATTCCGTAAGGGGTCTGCTCGATAGAAGGGCTTTGATGTTGCCTCCCCTCGTGGCCGCGATCAACATCTCCCCAAGCTCGGTCATCGTGATTCGTCGAGTATCGAACTCGTCCAAACCGTCGACTACTATTGCGATCTTTGTGGATGTGAGAGAATGGGTCGTGAGCCTTCTGAATGCTCGGCGAAGTTGATGAAATGTCGGAAATTCGTCCCATTCAGCATCGGGTAAATACTGCTCCGCGAACAATGTATGGGCTAGAGAGACGTCCTGATCGATCACTTGCCAAAGCAGTGAACGCAAGAGGCCTGCTTGGGACTTTTGGATCTCGGCACCTGAACTCCAAAAGTAGAAGTCAGCAACGATCAAACGATCGCCTCCAGCCCAAAGCTTTAGCGAATCCATAAACCGGGAGTCTTGGTATAGGTACTTCATCAACGTTGACTTCCCAGATCCGGCCTTCCCACTGATCCAATACACGCCGCCCTCCTCACGAAGCCAGTCTACAAGGCTTGGCCAGCTTATGGAATCTCTGCTCTCCAGTGCCCAGTTGAAGGTGTCTCGATGGGCAAAAACGATGTCGTCATATCTGTCATCTTTCCGCGCGAAGTATAACTTGTTCGCAATTGCGCGCGGGACATTCTTATTCCCGGGCTCCTCTTTTGGTCGTTTGCTGATTGCACACAGGACCTCATCGTGACGCGTCGATGCTAACAAGCTGTCGGCATCCTGTCGTTCCATGATTCTTCCGGTCTCTGAAATAGTTGTCGAGAGCACTTCTTCATTACTCTCCACGATACTGTGCAACGCCTTCCTACTCGGTTTGTCCAAACCCCGCAACTGGTCGTCTCTGATGGATATCAGAATTCTGAATTGGAGCTCATCACGTATCAGCTGAAGTCGAGACTTGATCTCCTCAATCTTTTTCGCGCTCCAAGTTGTTCGTAGAGCGCTGAGAATTGATTTGGACCTGGTCGCGTCTTTGGAACATCGCAACGACTCAAGTACAGCGATGAGTTCTTGAGCAACATCCATGCACTTCGAAGCCAGATCCTCGAGTGCCTACAGACATGTAAGACAAGATGTTTGGGCCTACGGACCAGATCCGAACCTGACGTACCTGACTGTCCTTTGCCAACGGGCCCGTACTAGCTGGATTGGGACGAGCCCATGACATGATGCGCTCGCTCAGTGCTGTTAAGTCGTGAACTACCTGTTCTAAATCCGAGTTCTGTACGGTAGAACCTGACTGGCGAATCTGGTTCCCAGTTGATAAGACATTGGTGGTGAAGTCTACGATCTGTAGGATGTTAGCAGCAAGGCTAAGTCCTGCGATGGCCTCCATGGTGGCCACCTGGAAGCGAAAGGGTATGAAATGACAAGTGTCAGGCTGAGAGCTGGGTCTTAAAGGGTGGGACAAGTGCTCAGCACAGCCACGTGCAGGTGTCCCGCTAGCGTCCAGCTGCAGTGATGCATGGATCTGTGAGCCAATACGCGCACTTCATTACAGTCGGCAAAACAGCCAACATACAGGAACTCCGAAGATCGCCCAACCGAAACTTGTGCCAGTCTGTAGAGACATTCCATAATGCTAAGAACATGCGCTTATCGAGCAAACCGCGCTGTGATGTGAGGATAGCGCCTAGTCAGAGTGGCACCACCTCCTACATGAAAAAAGACTGAACAACTACCTCCTAGAAGTCTACATTACCCCGAAGGATATGTGGACTTCAACTCTTACACCAACGTAGACGGCAGAGTACCTGTTCAATTTTTTCCTTGTATGAGGTGGGACTGGGAGTGAGTTGGCGAGATCAACTCGTGAAAGGGTATATTGAAACGCATCGATACGCTCGCCTGGATGGAAAAATGAAGAGCCCAATTCTTCTTTGAGAATACTCACGCCATGTAGGAAAAAAGTGTACGCATACGAGCACGCATCAAAAGAGAAACCGCCTTGAGCGATTGCCGCATCACTTAATTGTCCGAGCCGTCCTCAGGAAGCTCCCTCAGCACGCCCTCCACAATCTCAATGAGCTCATCAACATCGGGTCGCTCGCTTGGCTCGAGCCTCAAACACTTCCTCACCACCTCTTTGACGCTGTCTGTGATAGCATCCTCGGGGTTCGCCTTCTGCTTGCCCCTCTGCATACCCTCGTCTGGAAATCTCCAGTCACCACCCAAGACACATATGCTCAGACTACCACCAGTCTCGTCTGACCTAGCCTCGAAGGGGCTCTTGCCAACTAAGCAGGCGTAGAGCGTGCAACCGAGCGACCAAATGTCGACCTTGGTGTCGATGACAGAGCCGGTCTTGACGTCGAAGAGTTCCGGAGCACGGTATGGCATGGTGGAGTGTTCGGCGGCGGTGTCTTGGATTTGTAGGGCGAGGGAGCGCGATGTGACGGGTGTTGGGGACGGTGCGAGGGAGCCGAGGTCCATGAGGATTGGGGTCTGGCCGTCGTCGTCTATCATGATGTTTCCTACGCGTGTTAGTCTCTTGGATGCGCGACCATGAGATGAATGCAGTGCATACCAGGCTTGATATCTCTGTGCGCGTACGCCCTCTCCCCGCCAGGCGCAATGCCTTCGTGCGCCGCTGTGACTTCTGACTCCTCTAGCAGTCCTTCTGCCTCTTGCTCGTCGTCCTCGTCATGATCGCGATTCCGCCTGCTTGGACGCATCTCCATGGTCTCCGCAGCTTCCGCGTCTGCCCTCTTCGCGTCTCTCCGGACTTTCTTCGCCTTGCCTTCACTCTTCGCGCCGCCGGGTCCGCCCTTGATCTTGTACTGATGCATTGCTTTAAGCGCTTTGCAGACACCCAGGAACAGCACCATGAGTCTTCGCTCGGGGAACTTTGTGTGATTGACCAGGTTCGCGTTGATCATGTCTTGTAGGTTGCCGCGACGGTAGTATGGTAGGAGGATGTATACGGTCTTCGCGGATGAGTCTGATTTGTCGGTTTCAACGGAGTAGTCGATTGAGTGTATGATGTTGGGGTGCGGCGAGAAGAGTGTGTAGGCCTCGACTTCCTTGAGCGCCAGGCTCACGCTTTCTTGGCCGAAGGGACATCTAATCTTCTTGAGTGCGAGGAGTTGTTGATTCGAGTTGTCTTGTACGAGGTATACATATGAGAAGCCACCCTGTGTCGCGATTAGTTGACTGAATGCGGTCCATTGTATGTAGCTCAGCTTACCTCGCCCAGCAGCCGTAATATCTTGAAACTCCGACTGTTGATCTTCAATTGTGGTGAGCTTGGAAAGCAGACCATACAATTTGTAAAGGAATAGACAACATCTAGGAAGTATGTGCCTAAGGATCCCATCGTGGCGGTTTCCGTTGCGAGTGCGATTTGTTTTGTTTGCGAAGCTATCGACAGCTTGCGTGAAGGCGGTGCCGAGATAGACGCGCGGTCAATTCGAATTGTCGAGTGTCGCAATAGTACGGAGCTTATGTTTGGGTGATGAGGAGGTGATCGGTGCGGAACGATAGTAAAGACGTGTTGTTTACTGTGATAGGATGTGGTGTGTTGGTGCTGACGACGAGGTTCCGGGTTGCGCCAAGGCGTGGCTGTGAACCCTGGCAGTTGCACGCTTTCGATCGCCTGCGGAACGTGGTCGGGAAGATCCACGTGCGGCTAACCCGAAGCGGGCGCTAGCGTCGCATTGTCCAAAAAATTGAAATATAATCCAGACTCCACGGAAATTTGCCATCAACGTCTCCAAGAGACTCAATACATCTCGGGCGTATGGCTCAGTGGTAGAGCGCTCGCTTTGCAAGGACTTTAGCGCTAAGCCTAGTGCAGAAGTCTTCAACAACATGCGAGAGGTCCGGGTTTCGATCACCCGTCCGTCCATTTTTTGGCCCCTTGATGCCCCCTGTAACTCTTTTTTTTGAAGGTCTAACATGCTATGCTGAGTATAGAAGAGATACTACAAAGTTCCTGTGTCTACAACCACCCTCAACGTCCCCTGGAGGTTTTCGGTATATCACCTAGGCGAATTGAATCCACTCTACATGTCGAGCCCATTCCCTAACACATCCCACATCACCCGCCCGTCCATCACAACCTCTTTTTTGCTGTTTTTTGCTGCCTTTTGTTCCTATTCTTGCAGGGTATAACATGCTGTCGCAAGAGTTGAGTAATTCTTGCGAACTAGACTTGTCTAAGAAACTCGGAGAGCGTTACTTAAAACCTTGCAAAATATTAAAGATGCACACAAACGCTGCTTGCATTGTATTGCGTTTTGTCTACGCAGCAAAGCTTTAAGAGCCGTATCTTGCCTTCACCTGTGATACTCTGCTGTGAACTACCTCTATGTCTAGTGCCTAAAGAGGCTTAATTCTTAAGGTTTTCAGAGGTAATTTCGACATTTCCTACGTGCATTATTAGATCCGTCGCACGTATGTGTGAGTCTGATCGAGATTAGTCGAACTGGCGACATGAATGTTTGTATGTTTCCCTTAACGCTATTGTACCCGTCTACCATAAGGAATTGAGCACGCCATCATAAGAGACCAGCCCCTCAACATGATCACCTCCCGCTAATTACCAATCCAACCGCATTACCAACCACCTGATCTATCACAACATCTTAATTAGGCCGAAACCTGAACACGTGCAGCCCACATCAATGCCAGATTTTTCAATCCGCTGATATTATCCCAATGTATGCGGCAACACCATTAAGTTTCATCCTTGTATTCGCGGACCCTACCTCATACAAGGAAAAAACTGAACAGGCTTGCAGACTAAATCATGGTAAAAGTACGCAAAGTAGGTAGCCCAACGTCGATGTAGACTCTAGGGTGTTCAATTTACCCCTAGGTTGATGTGGACCCCCTCTCAAGGCGCAACATCCTTCGGCATCCCATCAACCCCCAGATCAATCTCCTTGTCCAGGTTCTCCAAGAACCCCTTGCCGCGGAAATCCTCCTTTCCGACACTCTTATCCATTATGCCTGCAACCTCTTCACACTTATTATACCATATCCTCTCGTAGTTGTACTCGTCCGCGGGACCATCCGGCATCATGATCCACTCAGGTATCGCGCCTTTCTCTTGCTCATTATCTTTGTACCACCAAAACCTCGCTGTATCATCCTCTTTTGTGCGCCAATTACCGCGATTCCAGTTGTGCTTCAGCGGAGAGTGCTTGTCCCATCCGCGGACGAGATGGCGGTAGTAGGCGATGGGGTGGATGTATTCGTTTGTATCGCCCAGGTCACGGAGTTTGGTCCATTTCGGCGCTTTGGTGTCTTCGTTGTAGCATTCGACTTCTTCATGGCCAGGCATGCGTTGCCAAGATCCGATGAAGTAGTATATGCCGCTGTAGGAGTCTACGAGAGGACCTGTACCCCAGCTAAAGTCGAAGTTGGTGTGTGAGTGGGGTGGAGAACGCGGCGGAGGTTTGAGTGTATCGTGACCAATGCCAGGGATGGATATCTTTGGGAGCAGGTTCCACGCTTTTTGAAGGAGGTTCTGGTGGTGATAGGTGCATGCGAAGCGGAGGCGGAATAGCCAGCGCGTGTACTGGTCCATGGACAGCTGGAAAGCATGGCGGTCGATTGTGAGGTGAGGAGAGATGACTTGAAGCATCCAGCAGAGGGTTGCTGTGGAGATGTTTTCCGAATCTCCCTTCATATCACCGAAAGCGTCTTGTGAACCACCACCGATATTTGTGTGAACACCAGGAAACCAAACCTGCTTCAGCTCCGGCGTTGGTCTGTTGGGATCGTCGACTAGATCTTTAGGAATGTACCAGAGAGTAGGGCGGAAGGCCCTCCGACGCTCATCCAGAGCCAATGCCTGGAATGCATGCTCGATATCTACAAATCGTTAGCCAAAATCACACGTTCAACACCAATAAAACTCACTCTCCGTCAGCTCGACGTTGTGGAACCCATATTTCGTTCTCGACCACGCCAGATCAATACCAATCAGATCAGGTACACCCAACGAGCCGACAGTATCCCACACACCAACCACCTTCACCTTCCTGCTACCCTCGCTAACAGCAAGCTCACCATGCGGCCGGATATCCCATACTTCCGCCAGCAGTTTGAGATCATGCCAGTCGATGTTCCTGACATCTACGCCCTCTTTCTCCATCTGTAGACCCTTCTCGCTGAGCTTGCCCTTGGTGAACCATCTGTATTCCTTCGTCTCGCGAAAGTCAACACCCTCTTCGTTTCTTTGATACAGACGATATAGCTCCGGGAAGAACTGCATGTTGACGGGTGCAATCACACCGATATCCGAGACCAGCCCGGCAACCGCACGTGCGGTGTAAGCTCCTCTCGAAAACCCGAAACAGAAGATCTCATCGCCCGGCTCGTAGTTTT